GATTTTGTATGTACATATAAAAGAGTGAAAGAGAGCAAAGTGTTTTCTCATTCAAAGGTCAGAAAGATCTGCATGTGTTGCTCATGGACACTTCAGCAGCCTTTATACTTGTCATCTGCACAATGGTGCCTGGGTTCTGTCCTCTTCAAGAACTAGGCCACCCTGCTGGGTGATTCACGCATTTTATCACAAGACCAAGATGCACGTGTTGGAACGGAGGCAAAGTCAGTCCCCTGATCACATCAGGTACAAGGCCGGGCATTACTGCAGATAAAGGAAATGAGGTTAAGGGTACTGCAGAACAGAAAGGATCTCAGGCATTTCAGATGATTTTTACAATATCCCGAAGACAAATGTGTGAAATTGTGGCATTTTTGCATGCCTTTTACAGCTACTTGATATCATATATTCACAGTATATCATTTGTGTACCCATTTGCATGTATTATTTTTTGTGGCATCCCTTCAAATCCCATCCACTGTTCTCTCATCTGTTTATGCTGCATTTCATGGTTCCAGTCTTGACGGGTTCATGAACAGGAACAGTTATCTGTAATATGCCATCTGGTGGTAGGAAGCCTCATTACTGCAGCTAGCTCAAGTTCCTCGAGAAAAACCTTTTTATGAACACCAAACAGCAAATTAAGTTACTTTTAATTTTATCTTGGTATTTTTGGGGGTTTATTTTCTCAGTCAGCGGTGTAAAAGAGATACAGTCCAATTCAACACAGTGAGAATCCGATTAATTCAAATACAGATATAATCCAAATGCATTGATTAGAAATTTACCCAGCTGCGAAGACAACCACTTTGCTTTTATTTATCCCCCATCCTGGGAGAGCTGAAAAAGGAATATTATCTTTCAGTTGTCAAGTTTAATATATGACTAAATCAATGACAATCAATATCATAGGATATTGTAGAAAAGTTGTTTAATTTCCATTCAAAAAGTGAAAATGTCATAGAAAGAAAGAAAAAGAAAGAAATTAGGATTGCGTCAAACCAATCAAAATATGGTACTTTCAAAATGATATTTCAATCTTCAGTACTTGGTTGGTAATCCCTTTGCATTAAACTCTGCCAAGACGTTACGTGTCATTGCCTTGGAAGCCAAGATTTCCTTGATGCTTGCTGACAGCTCTTCTTTGTCTTTGGGTCTGGTGCCCAAACAATTAAATTATATTCTAATTTGAATAATCTAGTATTGCATTTTATAATTCTCTAACGAATTTTTCGTGATATTCTTATTTTTTTAGAAAGAGTATGTCTCTATATATACTAGGTCAACAGGTTTAAAGTACACCTATGTAATTAATTTGTGTGTCAATTAGAAGGTTGCTGGTTGAATACCCTTATTTAGTTGAACTCATGGTCATATATAAATAGGAACCCCTCATTGTCTTTTAAGTTTACATGAAATGGGCCAAATGAGGGCTCCCAGATGAATTGAATGAATTAATGACATTTTTACCCACTCCTGGGAAGATTGTCAACTGTCTGGGATATTTTCCTGCTTTATAAAATGATGAACTTTGGAAAAGGCTTTGTAATTTTTCCTAGCTTGATTGGAAGCAATAACTGCTCCTCTAGAACCATCACAGATGTCTTTCCACTTTAGTATTGTGATAACTAACAGTAAACTACCAAAACCATCTGCTTTTATAGAGCTGGCCACCTTACTTGTGATCATTTGATTAGGATCACATGACTCTTACGCCTCTGCTCACATGCCTCTTATTCCGACAGCAGGAGGCAAAGTACACTTTGTTTTTTTTCTACCTACTGCTTCTGTATTTTGCCTTGTTTTGCTGCTTTTTTAGTTAACAATTTCACATGAGATGACTTTAAATAGATGTTCACCTTTAGGCCACTGACATTTCACAAATTGTAGCATGTTAAAAGGGTCACATTTCAGATAAGTAATAACAGTATTTCCCTCCAGATTTCTCTCTTGGTTTCATGTTGGTGAATGCTAAACATCAAAGATCAGCAAAGTTCACATTTCTTCATAAAAACTCACAATCTCTCAGATATATCTGGAGTACCTGTCTAAACAAACTTCATGTAAAGTAGTTAATTACCCATTTGTTTAATGGAATCATATCAATTTTTAACTCCTTTTTCCTCTTGTGTTAACAATTTTAACACAGCTCGACTGAAATGCCCACTTTAAGGTCCCTCAGTGTTTGGCAGTGTTCAAGGCCATGTCTTGTTCAGACCTAAGGTGCAAATACAAGAACTCTAATAAAATCTCAGAACAATTTATTAATTTGTCGTAAAACATTATATCAAACCTTTATTCAATAATAGCTTAAAACCTAAGCTTACACTATCATAGAGTCTTTGTTCGGCTATCTTTGATAAAAAAATAATCTCTTTCCTTCACATCAGGAAAACAGTGGTATCTTGATAAACATGTCCCATTAGGCTTGGAAAACTGAAGCACAGAAATGACACTTGTTGTCTAAAGGATAGACACATTTCATGTGCCTCTTGTCATAGTACATTAGTATAAGTTTTCTGTCAAAGTGGGTCATTTGTCTGAAGGACTGAAGGACTACCAGAAGATGGCAGTCTTATCTCATTTTTTCCTTGGAAAAAGTCTGTTTTCTTTGCCTGATGCCACGTATGAGTGTGGGTGTACGGATATGTGTTGGGGCTGAATTCTTGAAAATGTAAATGGTGCATTTATGGAACACTAAAGGAGTACCTTTGTTGGTGACATGAAGATAAAATTTCAAGGTTTTAAACGAGGACAGAGGCATACGTTCACGGTTGTGTATCCATCCTGCAGGAGCTGAACAGCGTGAACTACTTGGAGCTGTACCGTGTGGCCGACCTGTTCCACCTGCCCGCCCTGGAGGAGGCTGTGGTTACTTTCCTGGTGGAACATCTGTCTGAGCTGAGCCAGAGCCGGTCGGACGAGGCCCTGCAGCTGCCCTACCGCCTCCTCAGGGAGGTACTCAAGAGCGACCGCCTCACGTCTCTAAGCGAGGAGGAGATATGGAAGGTTTGCTTCTGTTTTCTTTCTCTTTCTTTGTGTGGAGACAGCCCCTGTGAAGCAAATCACTCACTTGTCAGGTGTTGAGGTGTATTGAAGGTAGCATGACTTGGTCCTAAGGTCAAAGGTTAGGAAAAGAGAGAATATTAAGTCTCAGGGAAGTTAGCATCACTAATGTTCTCTCAACCACGCTCATCAGCACAGTAATGCGAGACATGCAGAGGGAACACACAGACTATGTCATCAAATATTGATATTAATGGGGATTGCGATAGGAAGATTCTGCGTGCGTGAGTACGCTCGGCTATCATTCCGGCATGCATCCGTGTGTGATGAAGTGCCACGATTGCGGAGTGAGGCAGCAGTGTACGATGGGGACTTGCCATTTTGACTGTTCATTTGCACCAATCAGCCCCCACGCCACCCCACCAACTCTCAGTTCTTTCCCCCCCCCTCTCTTTCTTTCTCCCCCTCTCCTCTCTGATTAGGCCCACCGCGGCTCCATCAGGGCCCCCAATCCCCCAGCTGTCACTTGGCCGCCCGTCTGATTGAAAACAATCAGGCCTCTGATGGCACAATTACCCTGACCCTTTAGCCAGCCGCCGCTGCCATAATCAGCCTCTGATTAGGCTGCTTTGGGCCTCCTTCACTTCGCTCAGAAGGTTAATTTGGGCATCAGACGGAAGCGAACGGCAAGCGGGGGCTGTCGTCCGAAAGGGTGGCGGCGGGAGGCTGGCGGGGCGCACGCCAATACCGGACCGATACAGCCCGACCGTCAATCACCCTCGCTCAGTTTTCTTAGAGTCCCTCACGCTCTGGAAATCACATTTTCTCTGACTTTTTTTTTCTTCGTTTTTTTTGCCTCTTCCTCATTCTTGCCATCCTTTGCTGTCTTTCTGTGGCTTCTCCCCCCTCCTCTTGCCTCTCTTCCCTCACTATCTTCTTCCATCACCCTCTCTCACAGACACACACACACACACACTCCCCCTCTCTTTCTCTCCCTGGCACTTTCTCTTTCAGTGTGCTGGGAAAGGAGGGAGAAGGAGTTGATTTATTCCGTGCCCCGAGGAAGTTGTGTGATGCAGCGTGACCTTCACAGTCAGCTGCCGTAGTGCACACCCGCTCACACTTTGTCACTTCAGAGCAATGAGGAGGAGGAGGAGGAGGAGAGGTGGGGTGAGCGATAGAGGGAGAGGAGGAAGAGACAGGAGAGTGGCAGAGATGCCACAAAAGACGGAGGCCTTGCTTGCAAGTTTGTTGCATATTCACACCTTTAGAGCAGATTTAAAAGGAGGGGGGGTGAATTAAAAGAAATAAGACGGCTTTGTTTGGAGAGAAGCGCGCACAGCTGATATTTATGCATACATCGCACATCACATCTAATGCTATCACCTCAGTTGTGATATTGTGAATTTAGTCTAATTTATTCCTGGTCATTCTTGCTCGTTTTCCCCCCCAAACATGTCTTTATTCCTCTGTAATAAGTTCTCAGGCTCTGCGCGGATTGTCCTGAAAATCACTTTGTTTTCCTGATAATGGTATCAGTGATCTCCAGCCCACATTCACACCTCGTTCCAGCTAAATAACCTTCCACCGCTCTCAAGTTCAATTAAATCCTTCCCCAGCTAACCGCTTGGCCTGCATTAGACAAAGGCTGCTGCCTGTGGATATTTACAGTCTGTATGTTGAACGCCACTGACTAATGTGTGTGTGTGTGTGTGTGTGTGTGTGTGTGTGTGTGTGTGTGTGTGTGTGTGCTGACACCTATGGCTGCAGGGCTGTCTTGTCTTATCCTAAACTATTAGCAATCACTCAGTCATTTCTTTCTCCTCTCTGCTCACTTTATTTTCTTCTCTTCTTGGTCTTAAGTGCTTCTGATTTGATTTGATTCCCTCCTGCTGCATATATTCCAACTCCTTATCTTGCATAGATTCGTCTTCCCTTGAAGGATTGTGTGTTAACGGAGGGAGCTCCGGTTTGAAATAAAGAAATATAACAAATTAAAATCAAGCAGAGACAGAAAAAAATAAAAATAAAAAATCAAGACAAGAAAAGAGGTCCAATTTGGCTAAAGGTTGCTAAGAAAAGAGCTAATGCTGTCTTAGTATTAGCTGTTGACTGGATCTGATTGAAAAAGCTAACTTAGGAGCATATCATTGGTTAACAGTTTGTCCTGATCTTCTCCCTTTCTGTGTTTAGTTTGTTGTTCTGTGGCTGGAACACGACTGTCGCTACCAGTACACAGAGGACCTCCTGCAGCATGTCCGCTATGGCCTGATGGACGTGCCGACCCTGCACCACCTCGCCCAGAGCCACCCCGTGGTCCAGTCAAGCCCTACCGCTGCCGCCCTGGTGGACGAAGCCCTGGACTACCACCACTCCGCCTTCGCTCAGCCCCTCCGGCAGTCGGCCCGAACCCGGCCCCGCTTCCAGTCCCTCACCCTGTACATAGTCGGGGGGCGGAAGCGAGAGGTGAGCAGGGTCAGGGAGCTGCGCTACTTCAACCCGTCCGCGCAGGAGCACGTGCGCGTGGCCGGAGGATCCAACTGGAGCGAGCTGGCGCCCATGCCCACCGGGCGCAGCCACCACTGCGTGGCCGTGATGGGGAACTTCCTGTTTGTCGTCGGGGGGGAGATGGAGCACGCCACCGGGAGGACTTGCGCGGTGAGGACCGCCTGTAGATACGACCCCAGAGGAAACCGGTGGACCGAGATGGCCCCCATGAAGGCCTGCAGGGAACACTTTGTGCTGGGCGCTTTGGGGCAGTACCTGTACGCAGTGGGTGGCAGGAACGAGCTGAGGCAGGTGCTGCCCTCCGTGGAGCGCTACTGTCCCAAGAGGAACAAATGGATGTTCGTCCAGCCCTTCGACCGCTCCCTGTCCTGCCACGCCGGCTGCGTGGCCGACGGTCTGCTCTGGGTTTCAGGTACGCAGCGTCAGGTGTTTTCACTTCCCCCTGAGTTCTGTGATTATCTGAGCTCAGGTTTGCATGGATATACTTTGTTGAATATATAGATTTGTCCTTAAATCTTGGAGCTCAGGATGCTGTGCCTCTGGGTTACAGGTGGAGTAACAAACACTGCTCAGTACCAAAACCGGCTGATGGTGTACGACCCAGAACAGGTAACTATGATAGCATTTATAGTAGATTCTGAAAAGTGTATTATCTACCAAGAAGAGCAGGTGACGTAAGAAATTACTTTTAGTGAGAAAAAAACAGAAAAAGAATCGCTATACAAACTATGGTTTCTGGTTCATCATCTTAATTTAGGCTCTGAAAAACTAACAGACCAACAGCAAACTCCCAACTTAAAGCTGGTCACGACCTTAGGATTTCGACACACACTTAAGCAGTTTAAAAGTTTCCCTTCTGAGTTTTTGTCAGTCAGAGACGTAGCCACTCACCAAGATATTTATGACAGAATACAGCAGGGATGAAGTACAATCAATTTAATTTTTTCATGGTTTGACATGGTTTTAAGGAGTGGAGGAGACCTTTTGAACTCCCTCTGCCTCCCTTTTTGTTGTACCCCTTATGAGACCTCCTATGCACTTTCAATCATACAAGTGATAATTTGGACTAACATAACACTCAGTAACCCTTAAGGTTGGTTTATCATATGAGAGAAAATAACTGTACTGAGCCTGAGAGCTCATACTAATACACATATGACTATCTCACAGTTCCACATCCAAAAAGATAAAAAAAATAATAGTAAGAATTTGGCAATTCAAGAAGTACAAGAAGTTGGATCACTTACATGGTTTTTGTCAGATATAGGTAGAGAGCTTTTTTTTTTTTAAGTGATCTGTGTTGTTTATCAGCTCCAAAGAGAGTATGATAGTAATTTTTAAACTTTTTTCTTGTTGTTGTTTTTTACTCAAAAGGCACTCCGGACACCCAAAAATGTATAAAGTCCAACAGAAAAAGACGATATTCCTTACTGTAATATCCAGTCTAATGTCAAAATTGCTCAACGTTGTATCCTCTGTATAAGGGCACATTATGTTAATTTTGTTTCATGTTTCTGAGAAGTTAATGAGTGCCTGGCAGGTTTCAGTGTTATGATATGACAGAGGAGACTTTAGTTCAACACCAGCCAGATAAATAGGGATTTTAATCAACTTCAGAGCATAAAGGCACCTGAACCCTACAGGTTCATAATCTAACTTTACATGGTCAAACTTTCTATGAGATTTTTTTTTTTTTATCATAGTTTTTAAAAAGTTCTATTAAACACAGTTTAGACAACAAGAAAGACATATATTGTGAAAATAAATGCAGAACTTATGTTCAATTGTGATGGATTACACAATAGCCAGGTGTCAAGTGTCTGTTAATTAATTTTTCTCACCATATGGAAATTAATGTAAGCCAGTGGCACTGTGGAAAAAATAGGAAAGCTACCGTTACTGCTTATTTCATCAGCGGTAAAGTGTGTTTGTTGTTATTTGTCCATTGAAACACACAGAGAGAATAACAAAAATAATAACAAAAGGAAGTACTGTTGATGTTTTTTGTGCTTTTTCAGTGTAGCACAAGACAATTTTAAGGTAAACTGCTCATTAGGTCGGAATGCAGCAAACTGCTTTTTCTGTTCGCGCACGTGTGTGAGGCAGCTGTTTTGAGAGGTCTGGATCTTGGCGAGGCGGCATATAGCATGGGAGTGTGCCCTGTGTGTGTGTGTCTGAGTCTGCAGAAGGTGCATATCCATCTGGGTTTGTGTTTGTACTCGTCTGCGTGCGAACGGGGGAACGAAGGAGTGAGTGAAAGAAAGAGTGAGGGAGTCTCATTTGTATTCACCAAGAATCTACATTCACCTGCCAGAGCAACAGCAACCCCCCACCCACTCTACCCTCAACAGATGGCCACCCGTCAGCTCCCAGCAGACACACACACATACACACACACTATTCTCTGCCTCAATCAAGTAGGCATACACACACACTCACACTGATTCGAAATAAGCTTCCACACACTTAGCGAGATGAGCAGGGAACCTTGGTGTAAAATGGAGTGGCTGAAACATATGATTAGAAATTGGGAGGGAAGTCATTAGTCCAAACTAGAGCTCCAGTGTCAAGTTATTTATCTAACACTGAGCATACATCAATTACCCATGCATGGATATGCCTGAATATTAATCTCCTTACTCGTCCACCTTCCCTATATCTGCCCTCACTGTTTCTCTCTCTCTCTTCGCTTCCTCTTTGCGCTGCATCTATCATCCTCCTCCTTCGAATCCATCTGCCTTTCCCCCCGCCGCCCCTGGCCTGGTGTTCAGGACGAGTGGCTGGCCCGCAGTCCCATGCTGCAGAGGCGTGTGTACCACGTGATGGCGGCGGTGAGGAGGCAGCTCTACGTGCTGGGCGGCAACGACCTGGACTACAACAACGACCGCATCCTGGTGCGCCACATCGACTCCTACAACATGGACCAGGACCAGTGGACCCGCTGCTCCTTCAGCCTCCTCACAGGTGGGAGGGGTGAGGGGTGGGGTGGGGAGGGGGGGGCAAACTCCACAACCGCGTCATCAAAAGCGGCGCCGAATGCGACACCCACACCGTGGCTTTTTTTTCTCAGCCGTCTCCCCCAGTGCTGAATTAGATCAGCGACACACGCCGCACGTGCTAAACGCGGGAGCCGCTCACAGGAAGTTAAATGCGGCAGCAACAGTTTAGTTCTGCCTCAGAAGCGACTAAATGCCTGTAGACGTAACGGTGATGACTAAAACACCTTAAAGTTATGGCCCTCCGGGCCCACAAGGTTCTGCTGTGAATCGCATTCTTTAAAGCTGGAGAGGTTGTGAAGAAAAACGCAAATAGACGTGATGCTGACAATGAGTTTAATCCTGTTTTTTTTAAGCTTTTCACTAAAGCAAAAAACTGCTTAAGACCTTTGAAAATAGGATGGTGTAAAAGATACATTCATGAACAGAGTTGGTGAAGTTTTCAGTAAAACTTCACAGTCTCAGGGTTTACAGAACCAATGACATCTTCTTTTCCATCTAACGCCTCGTTCAGTTCCCTGTTGCCTTTTGTTTTTGGATCTTGTCCTCACACAAAAGTTAAAAGACTAACGAAAGCCATCAGAGGCTTAGTCTTGGATCTGAAAGCCCTTCTGTCCTTTCTGTTTTCTTAATATCGCGCTGACTCTGCTCTTCTCAGGTCAAAACGAGTCTGGTGTAGCCGTGCATGAGGACAGGATCTACGTGGTTGGGGGATACTCCATTTGGACCAATGAACCACTGGCATGCATACAGGTGAGAGGTTTTGAATTTCTATTTGGGACTTTTGAACGTTTTTGACCACTTTTATCCCCTTTTAAAAAACTGCTTCCCAACAGAGAAACAGACCTGCTACCACTACTCTGGGCCCAAAACTATTTAAGGAATCATAAAAATGAGGAAAATATATTATGTAATACGGTTCATCAGAATTTATGTGCAGTGAGCTAAAGAGAAGAAGGCATCTGGCTTTTAATCAGCACACTGGTCAAGAGCTGTCATCTGGGATGTAATGGGGGTGCATTAGTGCTCATCGGAGAAGGACTCATCAAAGCCTAAGGAATCTCCTAAGATGTTTCACCTCTCACTGAAAGGTTTTGTCGTAGCTCCATAGCTACAACTAAACACAACTTTTGGGAGCACCAGACTTGGAACAGCTTCTACCAAGAAGCTACGAGGCAGCTAAATTCTGGGGGAGCCCTGTAGCCTTTGCTGCACAGGCCAACCTTGAACAATCTAATTATTGCACAATGGTCACTTTAAATGGTCACTCTAAGCTACACAGGAAAGATGAATATGGTTGAGCCCCTTGGAGTTTATCTGATGATATACTTTAAACTGTTAGATGTTATTTTATCCTACTTTAGTGACTTCTTTTTTGTTCATATACTTAGTTAGCCATTTCTCTTTTTATTTTATACATAATATGACAGACTATTTTATTGGGCTTGAACCGGTTCCAGAGCAACCAACTTCTTTTCACCTCATGATTTTAACTGAAGTGGTTCAAATATATCACAAGAAAAAACATACATTTTGTGATTGAATGTTATGAGAAATTAACTTGTTTAGGATTTCAATCAAAAGACATAATAATTTCAGTCAAATTTAAAGAAAAAGTTAGAAGAACATTAATCGTCTGTATAAAATTCGGTGGCCATCCATAGAGATGATCTGCAATGACGTGATGGATCAACATAACCACCCCCCCAAAACTTATTACAAACTGTTATAAGGTTAAAAAGAAATATGAGGAGGCACATACACTAAAATATGATTTCCTTTCTCCAGGTGCTGGATCTCAGTACAGAAGGGAAGGAGGAGGTTTTCTACGGGCCAACGCTGCCGTTCGCCTCCAACGGGATAGCCACATGTTTCCTGCCCGCTCCTTACTTCACCTGCCCAAACCTACAGACTCTACAAGTACCCCATCACAGAATAGGTGCCGTCTAATGAAAAAAAGCGTCGGAGAACGTGAACACATCCATAATGATGGATGCACTGCCAGCTGAACTGTGGACAGACGGTGCTTAGTAAGAATCACACTACTATTGCCCTTTCACAGAGGTGTGGAATGTGTTGCTAGGTCCAGAGGCTTTTACACAGCCGCTCCAAAGACTGACACCTTATTTAAGTCCTACAAAGACGGGACGAACAAGTTACCACTGAAAGTGGAAGAGACATCAAACGGGCAACGAGTGGAAGTGAAATATAGCCAAACTGCTCAACTGGGGGCCGCAGATGTTAAAAGAAAGAGATATATTATAGGGCTGTAAAAGGTTTTAAGCCAAGATAGCTAAACAAGCATAGCTTTTCCACCTAACCTCTATAATCCCATTTGTGGCCTGAAAAACGAGAACGTTTTTCAAGATGCAGAGGACAGTGGCTGTTTTCTTATCATTCGCACGAGCTTGGAATGCATGAGGCCGAAGCTCACCGGTGCATAAAAGTGCACGGTAATTTTGTTTTTGAAAAAAAAAAAAAGAAGAAAAAAAAAAAGCTCATCTCATGTAAAACACGACTCTGATAAATTATCCACTAGCAAAAGCAGAGACATATTTACAAACTACACACGTGCTGTCCACCCGTCTATGAGATAATTTAATCCCGCTCAGGACATGCAACTGTTTGTTCTTCAAATGAATGTCTGGTTGTTGTCGTTGGACATATATCTGATGAATATTCTACAATATTCTAAATGTCTGGTGTGGTTTAAAAAAAAAAAAAAGAAGAAAAAAGCCATCTGAAACCAGGTGTCTGCGAGAATATGTGGAAAATCTGCAGAATAAAGATGCTACTGAAATAACAAAGAGATAGCAAGAGGATATTTGCAAAGATTTTTTCTGAAAATTATTATTGCGTGATAGAATAAATGCTTTTTTACTTGGATTCTCCAACCAACGCTGTTACAGATGGTGCAACACAGGGCAGCTCCGGTTAAGAGATGTATTGCTGTTTGATGAAGCCGGAAAATGACTAACGATGACAGGAAATGAGACTCGCTGATGGTGGGAGACAGAAGTGAGACTTCATGGGATTAGGTGCGAACTAAAGCCCGATTGCAAGGCCGCGGAGAGAAGAAGAAAATTGGAACAAACAAGTGATTCTCTCCATTACTCACTTTTTCATTTTTTGGGGGATGGGGTCATCAAATCTCTATTTCAGAGTGCCAACTTGAACTAGAGACGGAGCCTGATGGCCCAAGATGGACGAGTGCTCTGATGTGTACATTCCACACTGCTCACGGAAACGACTGAAAAGGCTGAGAGACTGATTATGCATCCACTGTCACATTTTATTTCACCAACACGTCTGCTGTAACTTAATGCTGCGCTCGCTTTACAATATCTACATTATATACAAGCTCATGAAAGGGCTCATGCATTAAGCTGAAGATTCCTGTAATTGTAAATCTCCTGTTCTGCTGTTGTCTTTAATATAAAACAGACTTATAATGTCTAAGATACCCTCACACCAGTAGCAGCGGTACAACTCTTTATAACAATTGAAAAATATCATGATAGAAGATATAAACTCTTCTCAAAGGTCATCTGCAAGGTGTCCGTCTTCCGGAAAAACTTCTTAATCGCTCTCCAGACTGGTGATTTCAGCCTGCCCACCTTCTCCGAGGAGACACAGCAGCTTCATGTATGCACTCCTGTTCCGTGGAAAGATGCGTCATTTTCGACAAAGCTCAGAGTGTTTACGGTGGCGTATGAGACATCTGCTTATTGTCTAGACGACTTCAAAGTAGTTCGAACGCTGCTGTGTGACTCATGTGCCCGCTCACCTCAGGCTGGTGTTCTTGCCCAGGCCTCGTTTGTGCTCTGCCTTCCTCAGGCCGGCGGTCAGGTCGGGGACCAGAGCCAGGACCGCGGCCGGATCCAGGACGGCCACCGTCTCCAGGACGGCGTAGGCCTGCCTGTCGTAGACGCCCGTGTTGTCCTCCGCAAACGCTCTGAGGGGGGGGCAGCGGAACGGAGGGAGAGGTGTGAGAGCGGGCTCCGGACTCCTACGGGGGGCAAAAATGCCGCCCCGCGCTTCCAGACGCTCGGCGCTGCGTGATGGAGCAAATTACCGTAAGACGGTGATCATCTGCTCGCACGGTCCCCCCGCAGACACAGCGGCACATCGCTCCACCACAAGCTGTAACGCATCTGTGCTCGTCCTCCTCACTGCAAACAGACACACACACACACAGACACACACACACAGACACACACACACACAACCTCTGGTGTTACTGACATCTGCAGGCAAACAAGTGCTGATAAAAACTGAGCATTAAAGACTCGGAGCTAAACAGTTGGGACAACATGCCTGTTTTTATATGAAAAAAATTGCTCTAACAAATTTGACTACGAGTAAAACAAACAAACAAAAGAGCGCTCTACCCTGTGGCTCGTTGACCAGCATCAGACATCGCAGCAGAGACGGCAGGGGCAGGGTGAGGAGGGTAACGTCCGAGTCGCCGTTGCGCCTCAGAAGCTCCAGCAGGAACATCAGGACTGATGCGAGGCGGGGAGGGGGGGCGTGACCTCTGAACTGCAGGAAGTTCTCACTGAAAAATCCCCAGGAGAGAGAGAGAGAGGTGGGGGGAGGTTTTACAAAAATAGCCGATGGAAAGAGCTAACAAATGTGCAGAAATTTGTTTAAAAACTAAAGCGGGTTTGGGGGCGTTTTGGGTATAAACATGCTAGTTTTGGCACGTTTTTGGAAGTCACATCTCGGCGCTAGCCACCCACCAGAGCACCTCCAGGATGGTCCTTCTCAGAGCGGCCCCCCGCGCCGTCGGGCTGGCCTCACACGCGGCCAGAAGCACAGGGTGGTTGGCGATGGTGCTCATGGAGGGGGCGGCAGGAAGGAAATGGTCCACGTATCTATGGGTTACCGAGCGCAGCTGCTGCCGGAGGTGAGCTCCCTGGGACTGAGACACACTCGAGGCCACTGAAAGACCCTGCGCAAGGAGAAAAAAACAAAACAAAACAAAGAAAAGAAAAAAAAAAACTGTTAATGTTGATGCCGGCTGTGTGTTTTTTTGTATTGTGCATTTGCGCTTATCCTCGCCTGTAGAAACAGAGGCAGGCTGTCCCTCAGAGCTTTGTCGTGCTGGGGGAGGTTGTGGGGAAGCAGCAACCCGTCCACAATCCTGAACAGCAGCTGCTGAGCTTTGGAAGTGGCCAGCAGGGGGCTCCAGTGCCTCACTATGCAGCCTGAGGCACAGGGAGCACAGCTGTAATTATGAATGACGGCTGTCTGTTAGAGGAGCTGCGCCGCTACGATAAAACTACTGCTCCCTACTTACCAACAACCCAGTACGACAGTTGCATCCCCTCTTGGTTCTTGCTAACCACGTAGGGTTTGATGTGTTTCAGGATGTCACCAATGTAATCGAGGGCTTTGGTGACCATGGCCGACCGCTCGGACAGGAGCTGCAGTCCACTGTACACGCTTCCCACAGCCTGAGACCATGTGACAACGTTGTTGTGATATGGTAAGAGTATACAAAGGGTTATGGAACGGCAGCAATAAAGGCCTGGAGCTGTTGTACCTTGACGAACGCCTCCAAGGACGACGTGGGCTCTGGTCTGGTGGCTGTGGGCTGAAGCCCAGCTCTTTGCAGGAGGCTGTCCACCTCAGGAAGTCTCAGCACCAGCCGGGTCAGTTCGCACAGCTGCTCTCCCGCAGTCCTGCCTACGGGGGCGAAAACACAAACATACCAGTTCTCTATTCAAATGTTACATTTGTGACCTTATCAGTTCCACGGGCGATTCATGGTAAATGGCGATAAAAGCTTGTATCCAAACAGTATAAAATAAATTCAAAATCTTGTGTCCTGTTACCCGTCCTGCTGTCGGTCCCATCTGAGTTCTTGTGAAGGTGCTGCTGCAGAACACATCTGAACCAGGCTCTGACCGTCAGGCCTTCAGCGGAGCCGGATGCAGGAATGCTGGAGTTACTGCTTAGCAAAGACACCATCTCACTGGAAAAGACAGCCAAATGGATTCAGCTAATTTAACCTGCCTTTATTGTAAGGTATGGGACTTCCTGATGGGACAGTCGGTGCTATCTGAAGGGGGCAGTTAAAGCGGAAAATATGTTTATTTAATACCTTAAAAATGTACATTTAGTGTCTGCAAATGTTTTTCATTGATATATATATTTTAAAACAGTTACATCTAACAAAACTTGTTAGGTGATGAAATGTCACCTGACCTGATCCTTTTGCAGTTTTTTTGCGATTGATTCAGATCTACCTGTTTTGGAGAAGATGGGGGAGGTAGCGAGTCACCAGAAGTGGGTGAACCATGTCATCCCAACCAAAGCATTGCATTATGGACTGGACTGGATTGGGCTGAAGGTCTTGGGGTGCAGAAGTGGGTAGATCAAAAGCCAGTAAGGTGAAACCTGATGAAAATTGAATGAGAAATGATTTTAAATGAGCAGAGTGGACAAAGTTACTCAGCTCTTCTCCTTTTGCTTTTACAATATCCTCTCATATCTTCACCTAAAATGAAAAAAAAGTGCATTTTCCGCCTAAAAAAACATGTTCAGAGAGAATGAGGCCTCGCCTCCCTCCCACCGGGAGCAACTGACCTGCAGCTGCATCTGCCAGCTGTGCCGGAGGCGTCTGAGAGAGCCGCAAACTGCGCAGGAAGGGGAAGAAGTGCGCCCAGAGAGCGGAGGCTACAGCTAGGTGGTGCTCTTTAATCGCGCCGCTGGTGGTGCTGGTGGAGGTAGTGGGAGCCCAGGCCGGGGTGGGCGTTGACTGGACGCCGCGCTGATGGACCCGTCTGGAAAGACGGACAAAATGCTCACAAAGGCGAGGGCGGCTAAACAAATCTATCCAATTCAGTCAGCGCTCCCTCTTGTGTACAAGCGCCAACCCCTCCTCCCAAATCCTTCTGCTCCTCTTCTTCTATTTTAGTCCTCCTTCATGTATTTTCCCCTCTTCCCTCATGGGGGATTACTTTGTGCGGCGGAGTGCAGCAGGGGTGGGGGGGTGGGGGTGGGGATAGGTGTGGGGAGGGAGGGTGTTATCGGCATAGACCGGAGCCTAATGCTGATCCCTGTACACAGACTACACTTTGGCTCTTTGGCTCATCCCTGGCCCTGGCCCCAGTCGCTCCGGCATCCCCACAGTGGCTGGCATTAGCCCCGATAAGCAGCTGAGGGAGCTGTAATCTCATTTAGACTGGAGATGATCCCTCTGTCCCCCTCGTTCACGCAGATGGGGGAGAGGAGAAGAAGGAGTTAAGGTGTCCTAAGGAGAGGGGAAAGGATGGAGGCACTGGCAGCCCTTTTTTCCTTCCTCAAGGTGTGCGCACTCACACACACACACATAGACACACACATCAATGATGCCTTCCCTTCCAGCAAGGTTGCATCTAATCCAGAGAGAGCTGAGACAATCGATTAGAGTCTGAATTCATTAGCCTCGTTACTACAGCGGAATGGGCCTTTCACACCCATCAACCCTCATTGTACAAGACATCGTCAGAGACCCCACTTAATCCTCCACTCTGTGGCTCCTCGTGTATACACAGAAACATGTATACGCAGACATCCACAACAGCAAAATACCATTCCAGAGTCAACTTTTCCCCCAGGTGTATCCTCTCTAAATCCCATGAAATATAAATATGGCCCATCCTACACAGATACCCCCCCCCCCACTACTTTTTCTCTTTTCGTCGAATCTAATATACAGCGATTTCTACATTTGTCAAGTAAACATGCACCCTTCTTGACTGCGTAAGCTTCGGCTCAGTGTTCCTTCAAAGCCTCCCGCAGCATGTTCCAAAGATGAAAACAGACCCGACAGTCAGCTCGCCACAACACCCCCACTGTCCCATATTAAGAGGGTCATGGGGAAGAAATCAAACTGGGGAGTTATGCTGGTGACTGGCTCCTCGCCTCCGCACCATGGCAGTGGCTATTAGGACCAAATGCTCCTGAATCTGCAGCGGGATAATTCTCTTAATGTGTGCGGATTCCACCCGGTTCTTAATGGGCGTAATGATGCACTGGGCAGATTTGCCAGGCTCAATCATTTAGCATTCTTTTCGTCCGGGAAAGCGCATTAATCACAAAGACGCTGTAAAAATCGCCCGGTGGAGGAATTACGTTTCATTTGGTGGGATGAAGTAGAGGGGGAGTGCGTGGTGTTTTTCTGATTGGCCAAATGGGTCGGCTTGATCCGGGCCATAACACAGAAGACCTCTGGGAGTTCTCTTACTTTCCTTCCTCGGTTATTCATGTGCAAATGTATACCCTCCGGCCCTCATTTTTCAGATGGGAGGTTACTGGAATCGGTAAAGCTGAACACGGGGCTTACTTTAAAGTCTTATTGTCTTATCTTTTGTAGGATTCTGGCTAAATAAGCTAGTTTCCAGTAGATCATCCTTACGAATTTAAAAACTTTCTCTCAACCTTACCCACTGTGGTCTTTGTGCCCAGCTCGGCACCTCCACATAAGCAGACACTGTTCTTCCAGTCGAGGCTTTCTGACCCTCAAGCTGGGGTCATTCATGTAATGAACACCCCTGTCCTACAGGTGAACCCATCGTGATCCCCAGCTCTTCTATGGTGTCCATAGAGGCTCCCCTGAGCCCGTAACTCTAACAAGGGCTCTAGCAACACCTGCTGAGGGTGGATGGAGGGTCACAAGACCTCCCGAGACCAACAGGTTCTTTACAGACACTCATTTGTGCTGACGGAACAATCCTCTTATTGTCGGGATGTGAAGTGAGCGGGCTGTGGGCTGGTCTGGGAAGAGCGTTTCCACTATCTGTAAGGGCCTATTAATTGGTTACTGATGAAAAAGTGTGGGAAAACAAGGGGAAAAGCAAGAGATCCAAAAGGATCTGGTCAGCGTTTTTGTGCCCCGCTTTCTCACCTGAGCTGAGTGAGGACGACCTGTAGGAAGGCCAGGGCGGAATTCAGCTCGGACTGGCGACAGGCGGGCAGCAGCCAATCGAACCCTTCGTTGAGCAGCTTTTCCTCCGACAGACTCAGGGTGCTGCTCGTCTCAAACACCTCAGCCACACCGTCCAGGTAAGAGCCGAGCGGCCCCCACAGGGCAAGCCTGCGAGACACCTCTGTGGTCTTATTGTAGAACTCCTTGGCTGTCTCGTTGAAGGAGGAGGCCAACCAGCTAGCCTGGGCACCCACATCCAGACCCCTCTCCTGTTCGAAATGTAAGAATATCGATTAAAACAATAAAATAAAAAAAGATGGAGTTTGGACATTTGGACTGCGCACTGTGAGTTTAATTCCAGGTACCTGGAACAGCAGCAGCAACGATAACTGCCCTCTCCAGACCAGTGTGCGATGCTGGGGGGGGCAGTTGGCGGGCAGGAAGCCGAGCAGCTCACAGGCTCTGCTGGCCACGTCTTCCAGCTCTGCCTGCCTGGCCACCACCAGAACCAGCAGCAGAAAGTTCATGAGACCCGCTTCTGAGAGCTCCTGCATCTTCTTAAGAGAGAACTTTGAGAAGATCCTGAAAACAGGAAACAAACGGGGGGGGGGTCAACAGCTATGGCAAAGCAAGGCACATTTATTCGTGTGGAGCACATTTTGTTTAAAGGCTAAGGGACAGAGGCTGTTGCGGCCCGCCCCCCCTTTTTTTTTTTTACAATTACAACTGTAACCTTGTTTTCTTTATTTCTCCAGAACCATTCATCAGAGGTGATTTCTTTTCTCCAAAACCCCCTGACTCTCAGCCCTAACTGAACTTTCCATCCCCATCTTACACGTCACAACCCTCTCAGCTCTCAGGGAGAGGCTCCGCGTCCCAGCCGGCGTGTGTGTGTTTTTATGTGTGTGCAGGCAAGACAGAAAGGAATAGCACGAGTGTAAGAATAGAGAACCACCCAGTACGCTGTTACATCCTGCGGGCACTGTGGAGAAATGCCTTTAAAGATCATGTTAAATGTCAGAGACACTCAGACACACAGCAGTGGGTGCTCGGTCCCTCTCTCCACAGCCAAACCAATTTACTGCAACACCAGTGAGAGATCAATAAATCCACACACACACGCACACACACACACAACACACACACAGAGCTGCCTGTTTGCTTGCCTGGCAGGAGAACACAGAAGGTTGAAACCATCTCCTAAACACAGATGCAGCCCACACAGGTGAGCTGAGCTGCCGTTTGGGTCAATACACAAACAGCCAGCATCTCCAGACAAACCCGGTGTAAATAGTATGACTGGTCAAAATAAAAAAATAAAACAATTTTTTTTTTAAAAGGGAGCGACGCAAACTAAGAGAGGAGCTGGTTAAAAGGCAGACAGACCAAATCCTGCGTGTTTATACCCAGAAGTCCATTAAAAGCAGAAGGTTGCCAAGCATGGGAGGCAGATTTAAGGGGATGAGTGGGTGATATGTAGTGGGGATAGAGGCACCACAGTGGGGAGCAGAAGAGGGGATTTTCCTTTCCTGCGTTCTCCCAACCTGTCTGTTTGTTTATTCCGGACAGATTTGGTTTCGACCTCGGCGAGCAGATGCTCCCAAGTCCTGGCGCAGGACGTCAACATGCTCGCGGTCGATCCGGTTAATGCGATCGTTGCGGGCGTCCAGCGGGGCCCCGGCCGGGAGTGGGAATGCTGCCCGAAAGCTCGGAGCCATGCGACCGGCGTCCCTCGCGCCTCGCCGGGGGGAGGCAGTGGTGATAGTTTCTGTGGAGGGAGGTGGAGCGGGGAGAATCTGGACCCGTCCCAGCCCCAGCCTGGCTGCTGCCAGGATTTTCTACCACCCCCCACCGCCCAAGATCCCCTTCTCTATCCGTGCTGGAAACCAACACGGCTTCGTTAAGGCGAATTAACCGCCACGCTTGTTAGCTAATTAGCCCCCATGTCTGCAGTGCTACTGATCACATTCCAGACAGAGGGAAATCATTAGGCGGATTTATCTACGGCTGCCACTCTCTGGCACCCGGCCGCCTTGGGATGTGGGATGGTCCAGTGCTTGGTTCTGATGTGATCACCAGCTTAAGACATTTTTGCTTAGCTTGCTTTTATTTCCAGCCCAGACACACACACACATACACACCCAGACACACACACACGTCTTCCTCTTCCCTCTGACCTGTGTTGAAGAGCAGGTGGTTGACTCCTGAGACACCTGCTCCACTGATGGGCCTGAGTAAATATCAAAGACTCACAGGGAGACTCTGGTGCACCTGGCATGCACACAAACAACTCTCAAATGTATGACAGTTTGCAAACCCACATGCTGTGCGAGCATTACTTCTGGTAGGCACCTACACACACACAGGCTCGGGCCCAAACAGCTGTTTAAACACATCACACGCGCGAAGATCAAGGGGAGAAAACTAATCTCCTTAATCCCAGTCCTGAATGGTAATTATTTCTTAGAGCCAATCCCAATTTAAAATCCCACCTGAACATGGATTTGGTGTGGTGAGATCTACTTTTCGAGGTGAAAGGTGCGAGAAAAGTGCACGGCTTCCAAGCCGTTTTTTCCGATCTCACCTCCCCTTAATCTGCCTTTGTGGGACTCCGCCCGCCGTGTCCTGGGCGAGGCAAAGCGCCAGGACTCGGAGGAAGATGTGGAAGGAGTTGGCAGAGCGGTAGAGCTGGTCGTGACCCGGAGAATGGAGGGGTGAGGGAGAGCAGCAGCTGCGGGCCTGTTCCAACAGAGCTAGGGGCGTCCTGCACAGCGTGCCCAGGCCAGACATCCCCAACCACGGCACGGCGAATGAGCCATTCTGGAGAAAGGTGACAGCATTGTTTTGACTGTAAAGGCCTACCGGGACAAGAGCTGCTTGGCCAATTAAAATCTTAAATTTGTGTTTTAAACACACACAAACAAATTAAACAAGCTAAAGGTGACCACGGTGAAGTTAAAGTTGAAATGAGAACATATATTATTATAAAAAGTTGGATAAAGCAGTCATAGAATTGTGTTCCCTTATGCCCTCTGGGACTTGTATCCTTACCAGGTTCTTACTAAAGTAGTCCCAGAGGATGGAGACAGCAGTGGTGCTTGGTTTCCACAGCAGACACAAACTGAGGCAGCAGTGGACATGAATCCTGACCTGCTCCTCTGGTAGACCAGCCTAAAATGAAACGCACACAAAGATTTACCGTTATTTCTACTAATGGAGAGGCAAACACTTTTTAATTGGAGGTTTGGAAGCTGTGCTAACCTTGGGGTTACAAGTTAGCCTCAGAAGCTCTTCTACAAATATCCAGTTATCTTCAAGCTGTTTCTAAAGGAGAGGGAAGAAGAAGAATGACACATTAAAGAAGAAAAACAAATATCCCTATCTATCAATCATAAGCTTTCTCCGGATTGACTGTAGGTGGATTTTTTGTGTTATAATATGAACAAAAAGAGACTGGACAGTCCGCAGTTAGGCAAATGGCCACTCTTCTTTGGTGGTGTGTTTATTCAAGAACCCACAATACACAGACACAAAAAACCTAAACTTTATTTTTATCGGAATTCACTAAAACAGCCACAAGGTCCTGAGAGGGGGTGCTCGAAATTGACTAATAACTATACCATCTATGGAACTCAGGGAAAAAAACAGCTCTCAACCCGTTACACTCAAACCAAAGTAAAAAAACAAAACACAATTGATTAATAGAAAAACATGTATTTGTTGTAAAAACTATTTGTTAATAAAAAAGAGCTATTTAGAAAAATATCTATTTTGTTAATTAAAAAAATAAATAATATGAATTAAAAATAAAAACGGCTGCGTTGGTAAAAAGAATTTCCTTTAATATTTTTAGTTATTAGAAAAGAATTTTGTTTCCCCCATTTCCATTCCCATTACTTTAAAAAAAAAAAAAGGCTACTCTATGTGCAGGATTACTAAAGCTGTGAAATTTGGTGTGAATAAATGCATTATTCAAACAAAAACATAATCAGCTTTTGAATGAGTAAAAACCCCATTATGTGGACATCACCATAGATTCCTGATTAAGTATATCTACTTCAGTTAAGTCATGTTTCCTATATGTCCTCTTATTGAAACTTTTATGATCATTTCATTTCCCCAGACCCCAACAGTCAGAAATCAGAAACAGACTGCTCAGTGTTTGACAGTTGGAACTGTGAAAAAACCCTCTATATTTACGCCCCGCCATGTTTCCTTCTCATGCAGCATTTGGATGTATCAGTACAGCATGACTCTTGGTTTCTTACCTCATTCTGAATCGTGCCATTTCGACTGTACTGGCCTAACATCGCCAAATGAGTGACCAGCCACCATGTAAATCCCAGAGGGTCTTTACAGTGTGTTGGGAGGCCACTGAAGCGCTCTTCCCCTGGTTTCCCTGAAACCAGGGATCTCAGCAGTGAGTTCATGCAGCTCCAGAACGACTAGAGGGAACACACATCGGTTAACTGAATTCAGACCCAATTTACCCTGCCACTGCGGACATGTGTGTGTTTCTGTTACCTGTGTGTGCAACACTTTGTGCCTGTGTTCCAGGAGGTACATGAGCAGGATCCAGAGCTCTTTGGTGCAGGAGCAGAGGTAATGAGTGCTGCCTGCTGCCTCTGTTGGTCTCACCTAAACGTCAACAAGATTCATTTTAACCCTACCAGCTGCAGCTCTGCTCGACATGGTTTGTGACATGTTGGTAAAGTATCCAACCCCAGTTGGCCAGCTATTCAAAATGTTACATGAGGTCACTTTAGGATTGATGGCTGTGAATTTCTATTCACCAATGGTGCATAGGATGAGGTGCCACTCACCTTGCTGTATTTGCTTATGGCCAGACCAGTAAGATCACACAGCAGGCTGCACAGGTGCTCCTCGAACAGACTGGTATCAGTCAGGTTTTCCCCGGTCAGATTTGCAAACTGGTGGGCGTACACCACCTGGCCTGCAGACAGTTTCAATGTTTATGGTGCCACGCCTTAGACACAAGTCATATTTCAGTACGTCTAGTTCCCATCCCCCCCCCCCCCACAAGAACATATTCCAGACCCAAACCTTGCATCTTTTGGCCAAGGATGTGCAGGATCTCCAAAACCGACCAGTGTATGTCAAGATGAAGGTGCAACAAATGCCAAGATGGAGGAAAAATCTGTGGGAGGAAGTTCAATGTAAACAAATGCTTTCTATGCTGTGAAGCACTCCCTAGAGCTTTAAATGTTTGAAAACCCTCTCAGATTCCTGTGCTGGATGCTATAATGTATAGAAACCTGATAAACAGTACCTTTCCATGGTTCTGTATACTGAAAGCGCTTTGAACATTAGCAGGCAGGTCCTTCAGTCGCCCAACGAGGAGAGTGATTCCAAACAGCTCCTCCAGAAGAGCAGAGGGCAGCTGATGTTCCAGCTCCTCATAAGGATGTGAAGGACTCACATCCAGGCCCCCAGAAGGCTCCAGATATCTGGACAGACACAAGGATGTGCATCAAAATAAAGTAGGAGATTGTGCAGGCAGTATGACCTTTGACTGTGTTGACATACCTGTGCAAAAAGACTGAAACGTACTGAAGAAACAAAACGCACTGTTGTCGGAGCTCCTCTGCTTCATAGTGCAGATTTCCTGCCTGTCCTAAAAGGGAGAAGAGAGCTATAACGCTGTGGTCGTGCTCATGGAGTTTTACTTGTTTTGTTTCTTTAACAATAGACACATTCACATTTGAGGTTCTTTAAGAGCTTAGTGGCACAAAGATGTACGAAACCACAGGAGCCTCCACTCACAAACAGTAATGAGGACAAAAAATACTGACACCTATTTTATACTTAATATGAGACCTACAACAGGTCTCATTTTGTAAATATAACAGATACCTAAAAGAGGCTTCAGTCGAATCCTGTAAAGCGAGGGGAATATTGTCTTTCAAACTCAATATTGTTTGGTGATGGCAGTAAATATAATAATCTTTAAATATTCTTCAACAAATTAAGACTCCTTATCAAAAAAACATGTATACATATATGTAGCCAGGGAATATTCAACAGATGTGGGATCTAAAAGTCTGTTAGCTGGAGTCTGAATTATATTTTATTTAAACAGACTTACCAAAGTCACGTGAACTGGACTGTACCATAGTCTCTAACTTGAAAACCTTTTGTCTGAAACACAACAAAGACCACACAAATCCAGGGATGAGGGGTGGACATTATTAGGGAGACATTAAACATAACAGAAGATTTTCTTTTATACTGATGGCCTTATTACACTTCTGGTACCCAGGAAAAGGGCACATTAACCTTTCTATTTTAAGGAATTGGAACTAAGATCTGTTAACGTTTGCCTCACCTGAACAGACCAAATAGTAACTTTGTAGATTCCACAAGCGCTGTCTCAGTCACCCAAGGGAAGCCAAAGATGTCCACCGTGTCAGTCTCATACTCGGCAGGGGCTGGGTCAAGACGCAGCAGAAGCCTTCAGAGTGGATGCAAAGACAAATAGTAACAGTTAGATTTTTGCTCTGTTCTGTTAAGAAAATGCCACCTTTTTTATTTCTTTTTTATTCCACCTTCAAAATAGTGAACATCCACTGACTGACTGTACCTTTTCAGGGAGCGTCTGGCAATGTACCCCTCGGCAGACAGAGCTCTGGTGGAGTCATCTTTTCTTTCAGAGCAGCAGAAGCATGGCGGTCGAGTGGGTGTCAGAGCACACTGGCTGTCTGCTGCAAAGGGGGACACCGGTGGAGTAAGGGACTCACTGAAGTCATCAGCCATGCTGCTCCACCTTCATGGACAGCAAACAAAACACAGACATGGAAAGACTGTTGTCACTGACAGTTTGATGGCACATCATATTATTTGCTACACATCCTGGGTATCATTGCACAATTAAGGCGTTACAGAGCTGCTCGCGCTTCGAATTATTCTGCAGAAAACTGCTTACTTATAGAAACCCAAATGATTCCATAGCTTAATCAAGAGCTATGGCTGAACCAATTACCACGTAAATAACTAAGCTAACAAACTAGCAGGAAGTCACAACGTATCTTACCCTTGTGTAGAAGAATCGACAGCCATTAGAAGAGGTTAAACAACTGCTCCAGACTGCATTGATGTTTGTGAGTAGAATATTATGTCAGTTTAAATGTACTTAATAAGTGTTAGCAACTTCCCACTAGCAGCTTTATACTAAATGCACAGTATGTTCAAGTCGCATAGCATAACAAAGGAAAACACGACGTAATAGCTCGCTCCAGAATAGCAAGATACTCCCAAACAGTGATTAAACATCAACTTCGGCATCTGTAGAATTGTTTGCAGTGTAAAATGATGTTTAAATCAAAGCAGTGAAGAATAAAGAACAGCAAATGTCAGCTCCATCGTTGTTTTCATGCGCTCCCGCGCGTTCATCTCACGCATGCGCAGGCCCGCCCCGCGTTTGTCGATTGGTCGGAAGTTTCAGGGAGGGAGGGGCTACATCTCTCCCTTGAGCTCTACCAAGAGGTTTCCCTGCCAAGTGCTTCCTTTGTCGCTTTGTTTGCTAGTCTAATGCGGCAGTTTGCTGTTGCTTCTGAACAAACTATAGATATTCATTTAACAGCCTTATTGTTTCAACGATTCGGACCTCTCGGGAAATAAAAAGAAATGTCGAATTGAATTGTATATACAGCAAACGACTCTTTTACTTAAAACAAACTGCAAAAACAATATTGTACCTACGTGGAATTAAAGGTTTAGGTTGTGCCTGGTATATCTGCCCTTTAGGGACACTATTTCTAAGCTTTTTTTTATGAAAAAATTTAAAATAGGGGTCTGTTACATACAGATATATCCGATAGCAGGTCGTTGCTTTTTGCTTTTCTGTCCTCCCCAGTCTTTATTCAACACAATGCAGCGGTTTAAGTGGAATTTTAACCACGCGAACCCTAATTTCCATATGCAGATCTGTCTCTCCCAACCGTCCCTCTCGCCATCACACCATTTCTTGCATTCTAATGCATTCTCACATCTTAACAAAATCCCCCCTTCCGCCACACGCCGCCGACGTGCTCGTTTAGTCCATTTAAAACCCGTTCTACCTACGCGTTTGTCTCGTGCAGGTGAAAAGGGGCCACGGTAAAAACGGTGTTTAGCATGGTTTACTTAGCATTTTTTATTGGAGACAGTTTAAAAAAAAAGGGAAACATGGACGCGTCGGGAATCTTCCTTTCTTGTCTACACATCGGCATCCCGCCCTGCTTTCAACAGGAGACAGCCCGTCTGCGTGAGGACCCTGTCGCTCGGATGGGAAAGGTAAAAGCCTTTTTTTTCCCCTCCTCCCTGTTCCTACTCTGACAACCCATTCTATCCAGTGGTGCAAAGTGAAGTGGGAGAGAGATTTGAACCTGTTCCACCCCTCCCTTCTCCTTTCCCTCAAACGCAGTCCCGTTTCCTGGACTCCATTCAGTTTTACTGGGCTAAATTAGAATTTTCTTGCTCTTTTTTTATATTCGTGGGAGAAATTACTCCACTTTTCCAGACTTAAGATGTGACGATATAATGATTTGTAAATTAGATTCACATAGGATTATTTTCATGTACTTTTAAAACCCAGCTGAATGGAACAGGGTCGCGTGCCTTTGGCGGATGCGGCGGGTCTTTATTAAGTTCAGGTGATAACCTGATGCATTCAAGTGCAGCCATTTGAGAAACCCGGTAGACTTTACGGACCTTTTGTAAACGAGACGGCACTGACACGCTGACCATTTCCCCCGCTGTCTAGTCAAATTTTGGACTCAGATGTTTGACACCACAGGTGGCTCAGTTCATCCTGGTTTAGCCCCCATAGCAGCTTACTGGCTGCAGTGACCGCAAACGCACCTTTTTCTTATAATTTATTTTAGACATTTGACATGCTCTTGTCAGGACATTTTTATCGGACTTGTTCTACTTAATTGACCCAAATTGCACATAGCTAAGAATTTTGTTATATAATATAAAGCTTTGTTTTTTGTTTTAAACTTTTAAGTTTAAATGTTTCTCATGACATGGCTTTATATGGAAGCTAAAAGCGGCTGAGCGTTAGCCCGCCCTTCACAGCTAGCAACACGATTTGAACTAATATAGTAAAACCACTTGAGGCAGAGTTCTCGTTCAAACAATGCTTTTGTATTGCCATTACAGTCAGATATACACCTAAGCCCAGCATTAATTTCCACCATCTATTGAGGCTGTGGCTACAGTCATGTTTTGATGTTCAGAAGCACTTTAGCTATCTTGCTATGGCAAATCTCTGAGTTGACTCTTTGCAATGTCTTTGTGCAGTAACAGTGAACTAAACCACCTGCAAGATAGAAGCAAATAGAAGTTTATTAGGCTGAAGCTTTGGGCTATAATGATGATATCTTGCTTTCTACATGTGCAAATGCACATGCTGGCTAATTGTGGAGTGGTGAATCTATGGTGAATAGAGTCCTCAAATATAACTTAAGTAATCAATTGCTATATTGATTTATCTTGGTATTATGATAAGTATTGTGTATTGTGTTAAAAAAAAAAAAAAAAGGTTAATGTGTAGTGCATGTGTGGTGGGTTTTAACTGATCATTGTCAAGTTTTAATCCTTTTGTAAATTTCTTTATTTTTTTATCTCCCACCCATGCCTCAGAAGTCATGTGCAGCAACACATCAGCTGCTGTTAGGAGTGTAATGGTCAGGATTCCTTTGGGGTCAAGTACAGAGCCCTAGTTTTGTTGTGGACACTTAAAGGGAGTCTCAGCCATCCTCGTGCCCCCATGTCGTGAGAGATAAAATGGTAGTCTTCTAATGTGGGGCATAAGAAGTGCTTGGCGCTTTAAAGTTGTGTTTTAAAGTTACATTATCCTCTGTTTGTTAGTTTGACCTTTTAGAAATCCCGTGCCCTACAGTTTCACTATCAACTTCTTCTCTTTTAAGAACTGTGGTCAGGGGCTGGTAATGACTTTGCATAATGAGTTCCCTCTTTTTTTTTTCTTTTTCTGTTGAGTATGCTTTCTGAAAGATCTCTGTATTGTATTGAGGAGAGAGCTAGTCTCTTTTATCTCCAGAAAAAGAAGAATAAAAAAAACCCTCGTGGCTACGGTTTGATCAATTAAACTCCTGAAAGGAAGCCTTCCCTTTCATTCCTACAGCCTGAGAGGAATATAAAGTTATCAGTCTTCCCAAGCGATATGAGGACGGAAATAAGTAGTTTGTCTATAAAAATGTCCAGGTACTTTATCACCGTCCCAGTGGGCCCTAAGGCCCTGACACTCTTCGGTGTGGTTTTCCTGTATCCCGGTTCCACAAGCTCCCTCTCCCCCCTCCCTCTCTCCCCGTCTACTCTGTCTCTGCCAGAGGCCCCGTGCTGGCTGGGTGGGGTGCACATCAGTGGGACTGACTAGGGTTTGAGCCCCGAGTAAGGTTATTGATTTAAATCAATGCCTTGGGAGACAATAGATGAAGGATTCTGCAGACTTTAAACGGGGTCGGCTGTAATATTTGTTGTTGGGGGGTGGGGGAGGGATCCTGCAAGAGATGGCTGTTTGCGTTTGACCAGAAATCAGATAAAAATCCAACCTGAATTACTACTAGGGGGGTGTGATATCTTAATCCCCCGGTTTGGAGTCTTACTGTCAGTTGGCAGTTGCATTTTGGAGGCAAACGGGCTAAAAGAAACATAAGATATCAGAAAGTTTCATGTTTTAAAAAAAAAAAAAGTTATTTAATTTGTTACATAAAGTACTGAAATCTCAATTAAACTTTTTTTATTCAATAATTTCATTTTTTAAATTAAAAATAGGTTTTAGGCAACAGTGCATGAGATAAAGAAAGCCAGTTTCTTTATCATTATTATAATTTTTTAGTGCATCTGAGATCCAGAAAATGAAATGTATGTAATTCGATATAATATATAGTACGCGGACATTGAATACTGCTAACAGGCCCTTGACTCTTTTACTCAACGAGTAAATGGTGCTAGTTTGAGATGACTGCTTTTTATGCTCCATCATTGTTCACAGGAAAGGTTCAACCATTTAAAACAAAAAAGAGATAAAGTTCCTGCTTTGCTTAAAGAGGGAAGTTAGTTCGCACACTGCAAGCTCTCTGATGCATTTGCATTAAGACCAGGAGATTAAATGTGTGGGTTGGGAACTGGAGAGCGTGCTGTCTCGCTTAGGGGGCCTCTGGTGCCAGAGTTCTGGCGTTCATCGCGCGGGGTGAAAGATTTCTCCTGGACGTTTCAGTCTGTGTAGCTACAGGTGGGTGGCTCGCATGTTGTAGGTGGTAGCCATAGTGGATTTCAGGCAGAAATACAGAGGAGGTGGCTTTGGGCAAATTTGCCTAACAATTGCCACTGTTAGTCACATTTGATAGCTTGTAAAGCAGCTGAAATGTTTCAAGAATATTTGATTGTGTTTTCTAAGTCAGTTTCAGACAGTAATGACCAGACTTTGGTCAGAACTGCCCCTCAGATGTTAGACGATGTGTCACTTTTTATCTGTAATTTGACAATTTTTTTCCCTTTCAACAGCTGGCCAAAGATGAAAAATGCATCCTTTTTTGTCTATTTCTCTCTTTTAATCAAATTCCTCCCAAAGATACAGCAGATTCAGTGAGGATGAATGATTACTAGATCCAGCGGCGCTGAATATGCTTACTAAGAATGAATGCAGTGCTTTTCTCTGTCATGCGAAATGCTCTGTCACGTCTCTCTCAGATATTCAGAAGTGGTAAATAGAAGTGCAGTACATCACATTTAAAAATAACGTCCTGCCCTCTTCTCTGACGTGGAAGCCTCCATGCTGGGCGCGTTGGTGCTGGTGTGCGGCTGCCTGCTGCAGAGGGGCCTGGCGGCCACAGAGGGGCGTCGTGGGACCAACCGCCATGTCTTCTACGCCATTCAAATGGACGGAGGCGCCGGGGCTGCCAGAGCTCTGGCCAGGCAGCACGGGCTGGAGTACATACAGCGGGTCAGTGCATGCTTTAAAAACTACTAATGCTGCCTCCGTTTATGGCCCCTGCAGTAGGGGCTTTTTTTCTTTTTTTCTTTTTTTTCTTTCTCCCTTCTCAAGAGCTGCCAATTGAGCTGACTTCCATTTCCTACTTGAGGGATATCTGACTTTGATCAAATTACGGCAGCATTTCTGAATAGTTCGTATCTGATCAAAGACACTCAAATGCCATCCACACAGAAGTAACCACCACAGCAACACACACGCCCACACACACACATATGAGAAGGAACATATGTGCTCCAAGGATGAACTCACAGGCACGTATACAAATGCTTCTCTCTTGCCAACTTATCTGGCTAGTGAGGAGTTCCTGTGTGTGGTATGAGCTCCAGCTGAATTACACTTGAGAGGGCTGAGTCTCAAACTATTTGCCTGGGTTTTTAATCTGTCACGCCAAAGTCTATTCCATTTGTCAGAGGACTAGATGCGATTCATTCACATCAGAACTCTTAAGATTTGCTTTGGATGTTGAATCTGGAGGTGTGTCAGCTTCCCCAAAATGT